AGATATGCTATATTTATATATATATATATATATATATATAATATAAATTCTATATAAATATACATATGCATAGAAATATTTGTTTAATATATACATGTATGTGTGTGTATTCATAAACAAACTTTTATTTTGGATGCAATTAATCACGATTAATCGTTCGACAGCCATAAATAAATATATTTCCAGTTCCATTAACCACTTTAGAGATGGATTACGCTTTTAAATGAGGTATAAATGAACTAAATCTAAATGCTTCTCTGTGTGCCTGTGAAGCTGAGCCCAGGAACGAGAGCGAGCGAGTGGAGTTCTCCAATCTCGTGCTCCTCTTCTGCGAGCTCATCCGTCATGACGTCTTTTCACACAACATCTACATGTGCACCCTCATCTCCCGTGGCGACCTGGCCTCCGACTCCCATCTGCCCCGCCCACGTTCCCCCGGCGACGAGCCCTCTGACGAATCAGAGCGCAAAGAGCAGGATGCAGGAAGCAGTGTTAAAATGGAGGCAAGTAGCTTTTTTTTCCCGGTCACAATGTAGTGGAAAATGATTGGTCATACTTTATTGCTATTAATTCTATTTGTTTTTTTTTAGGATACTGGTATGTCCGAATCAATGGAGATAGATCACAACTCGAGCGCTAACTTTGATGAGGTTGGAGAAAGTATTTCACTACACTTGCCTGTTTTGTAAACTGCAAAAAATGCTTTTCTTAGATTTTTTTGTCTTGTTTCCAGCCAAAATATCTAAACATTCTTAAATCAAGATTTTCCAGACAAGTAAAAATTATTGTCTTGTTTTCAGAAAAAACAAGTCAAAATTAAGTGAGTTTTTGCTTAGAGCAAGCAAAATAATCTGCCAATGGGGTAAGCAAAATAATCTTATTTCAAACAGAAAACAAGATTATTTTGCTTACCCCATTGCCAGATTATTTTGCTTGTTTCAAGAAAAAACTTTTGACTTGTCAGAAGACAATAATTTTTACTTGTCTTGAAAATCTTTCTTGATTTAAGAATGTTTAGATATTTTGGCTGGAAACAAGACAAAAAATTTAAGTAAGAAAAGCATTTTTTGCAGTGTAGTAGCGATGGTACCTGATGTTTGCTAACCGAAGTCATTGACTAAATGTATTGTCGTCAACCTTCAGCAGATGTTTTCTCCTCCAATGCACTGTGAGTCGAAGGGAAGCCCTTCCCCGGAGAAACCTGCCTCAGAACAGGAGAGCAAAAGCACTGCCAAGGATAAGGGCATGGACCCGGCCTTCCCGCTGGTTTACGAGCAGCCCCGTCACATACAGTACGCCACCCACTTCCCCATTCCTCAGGTGAGCTCACGCAGGACTGATGGGAAATGATGCTTTCACAACATAGATAGATATAGATGTGCTAATAAGGTCACACTATAGTCTGGGGACCAATTCTCACTATTAAAGCTGCAGTCCGTAACTTTTTTTTGGTTAAAAATGATCTGAAATCAATATTTGAGCAAGTACATAACCAGCCAGTGTTCAAAACTATCGCCTTACTTTAGCTCGATTCACAACGGTTAGCTTCTAATAATGTTTTCTAATTTGAGTGGTACGGGTAGGTTTTCATGGGAAATTCCAGCATGGCACTGCGTCATTACGTCACGTCTGTAAACATAAAGAAGTTGTCACACAAGATTTGTATTTTAAAGAAAACCAGTTCGAAGGCAGAATAATTTGCTTTTTGGGTTAAAAGAATTTCTTAATATGAAATTCGAAGAGTATGACAATTAGATTAGACTGTGCAGAAATTGAAATCTACACGATAATACACACTATAGGAAATGCTGATGTTGTTAACTAATAATTTGAGAACAAAGTATAACAATAATAATAACACGCAAGGAAGATAATTCCGCAAACAGCTGCAATTGCAGGTTTTCAAACAGAGATGGTGACAAAGAGGCAAAACTTACTTTCTTTTAAGTAGCAAAGGTTTTCCTTCAGGGTTTCCACAAACTGTTTTCAACATTGATAATAATAATTGTTTCTTGCGCACAAAATCAGCATATTAGAATGATTTCTGAAGGACCTTGTGACACTGAAGACTGGAGTAATGATGCTGAAAATACAACTTTGGTCACAGAAATAAATGACATTTTAAAGGATATTTAAATAGAAAACAGTTATTTTAAATTAGAGTAATTTCACAGCATTACTAATTTTGCTGTTTGTTTGATCAAATGCATGCAGGCTTGTTGAGCATAACATTGAGCATAACATTGTGACATAACACACACAGTTTCGCCCAATCTCATGTTAATCTTGAGTACCTATAGAGTAGTATTGCATCCTTCATTTCTCCAAAGAAAGTCTTTAGTTTTATCATATTTATAAAAGAAAGATACAGCTTTATGATTCTCTCCGAAAACAGCTCAGGGGTTCCCAAACTTTTCCATTCCACGACCCACCTAGACAAGTATAACCTATTTCACGACCCACCAAAATATTTGAGATCAAAAAACAATTGACATTAACCTACTTTAAGCTTAATCTTAATTAAAAGTATAATATGGCAGAAATTAATTAAGTTTTATTTTATTTTATAGTACAACTGAAAAATTTCACTACTAATATTTACGTTTTAATTTCTGTTTACAGGTGTTAAAATATGAAATGTCTATAAAAACTCGAAACACGCTCACTCCGGTGAACTGTAATCCGCTGTAAGTGTTGTTAAACTCATCGCGAGGTTCAGCGCAGAAAATGCATTCATGCTCCTTCCGTGTGTGTAGGGGAGAGCGAATAATAAATAGGGGTCGGGGAGAAATAATAAACAGATGTCTCATTTTAAATAAACACTAAAAACTGAGATGACAAATTTACTTCAGTCAGAAATGTACTTTTGCAATGGTTAAATAAATGTTCAGCGATATCTTCAAAAGATTTTTGAACTTTGGCACATTTTTCTCTATATAGAGATGATATGGCAAGGAAATAAAACGGAATTTTGTAAATATTGTTATGCTAGCGTGTGGAAATGTTTAAATTGCGTAGTGTTACAATTAACCCCCCGTTTGTGCCCCACTCGGCCTGTACATGTGAAATGCTTTTTACAGACTGATTCCCGAATGAAAACAGTGCCGAGTTCAAACAGACGATAGAAATGAATTAACATACCTGAAACAGTTTTCGCAACATTTGAATTTTCAGTGGATGCAATCTCATGCA